GTGACAGGCATAGGAACCCCATCGGGGTGATGGACATAGGACCCCCACTGGGGTGCTGGGCATAGGAACCCCATCGGGGTGATGGACATAGGAACCCCATTGTGGTGCTGGGCATAGGAACCCCATTGTGGTGCTGGGCATAGGAACCCCATTGTGGTGCTGGGCATAGAAACCCCACTGTGGTGATGGGCACAGGAACCCCACTGTGGTGCTGGACATAGGAACCCCACTGTGGTGATGGGTATAGGAACCCCACTGTGGTGATGGGCATAGGAACCCCATCGGGGTGATGGGCATAGGAACCCCGCTGTGGTGCTGGGCATAGGAACACCATTGGGGTGCTGGCCATAGGAACCCCATTGTGGTGCTGGGCATAGGAACCCCATTGGGGTGCTGGGCACAGGAACCCCATTGTGGTGCTGGCCATAGGCACCCAGGGCAGCACTCACGTGAAGGTGGTTTTGTAGTCGGTCCCGTCCACCCACTCCCATTCCCCTTCCGCGTTCTCATCCGTGAGCCCGATCCAGAAACGCTCATTCCTTGTCCTGAACATGACAAAATTCTGCAGCGGGGAGAGGGATCAGGAGGGGAAAACGCCAGGAAAGGGCTCCTCCAGTTTGCACCCTGGGGAATTCTATGGGAGAAGCCTATGGGAAGGCTCAGAGCTCGGAGCTGGAGAGGTTCCGCTCTGCCTTGGCTGTGGGTTTAGGGGATAACGGGGGGTGTAGGGGCCGGTGCTGGGTCTGAGCATCCCCAGCGCACCCAAGCGGAGCCCTTGGCTGCAGGCAGCGCAGGCTCTGCCTGCTCTCTGCTGGCTGCTGGAGGCGATGGCAGGATCCAGGAGGGACGTGGAAAAGGGGGGGCAGGATCCCGGCAATTCCCGCTTGGAGCTGGGTCTTTACCTGCTTGGCGTAGCTGTCAACGACAGCGAGCTGCGAGCGCATCTCCTCGCACTGAGCCTTCGCCTTGTGCCAGCTCGTTCTGCTGAGGGAGAAGTAGTAGCATTTCCCACCGAAGTATTCCCATTCCCTGGAGCCGGGTCCGCAGGGAAACACTGGGGAAAGGAGGATGGAGAGGGAGAAGTCAGAGGGATGGAGGGGGGGGTGGTCCCAACCCGGAGCGTTGTGGGTCGGCACAAAGCCAGCATCCCAAAAGGCTTCAGTGAGCTGGGAAAAGCGGTTCCCTATGGGATAAGGAGGTGTCGGTGGGTGGCAGAGCAGCAAAGCCAAAGGGGGGCGATGCCCTGCAGCCCCCTAAGGGAAGGGATGCGCAGCAGGGATGCTCTGGGGAGGATACAGGGGAAGGAAAGCTCATGGATGGGGTGGAAACCCAGGACTTACAGAGGAAATCCCTGCCCGAAACGTTGTGGTTCTGCTTCGGGGGCAGCTCCTGGAGCTTCGAAGAAATGGCTGAAACTATGGGGAGAGAAGGATTGATGCTGGGTCAGGGCTCGGGTTGTGGCCAAGCGAGCACAGCTAAAGATGTGCTTCACCTTCCATAGAGACCCAGGCTGGAAAGCATCCCAATGGGTCCAATTGGGATGAAGGGACCTTAAAGCTCATCCAGTCCCAACCCCCTGCCATGGGCAGGGACACCTTCCACTAGAGCAGGGTGTTCCAAGCCCCATCCAACGTGGCCTTAAGCCCTATCCAAGCCCTTCCAGCAGCCTATAGGGCTCGTAGCTTGGATGTATGGACATCAATGGTCACTGCATGGGATGGTCGCTCCATCCTGTGGGATTAGGACCTTTAGGAAGCACCCCCTTAGACCTTAAGCATCCCATGGTTCTATGTGCCCAAGGTGTTCCAGTACCTCTGGACAACGACACAGCGAAGAGGGTGAAGATGAGGAGGAAGGAGAGGGCCAGCAGCGAATAGACGGTGACGAAGGACTTCAGCTTCTGCCTGAAGAAGTCTCTGTCTTTAAAACAAAAGCATGGGGATGGCAAAATATGGGATTGGGGATGGCAAAATATGGGCAAAAAGCGGGATGGGTCCTCTGGTCTGTTTAGAGAAGGGTTAATAAATAACCCGCAGTGGTCAATGATCTGCTACAGGAGCCAAAGGGATGATCTCGAGCCATGGATTTGGGGCTGGGATGGGGTTTGGAAGCCTCCTGGTGCCTCCTAACCCCCCTTGTCAGCAGGGAGATCGCTCCCCAAGTCTGGGATCTCTCTGCTGGTTGGAGCTGGCATCTGGTGCCCGTGTTGGAGGGGTTGAATGTGGGAAATGGGCTCCCAGATTCCAGGTTTCTCCAGTTGGGAAAGCTGCAGGATAGGGAACCCTCTCAGGTGTTGCTGGTTGGGCACCACCAGGAGCCCTTCATGGGTCTGATGTCCCTTGCCCTCCCCTTCCATCTGAGCCTTAGCAAGGGGTGGGTCCCCATCCCAATCAACCCCACATGGTGCCCAAGGGGAGGAGGAAAGAGGGCTTAGAGCTTCCTCTTCCTCCTAAGCCATGTTGGTGATGGAAGCCCATGTTCCCCTATGGCTCCTGCTCTCCTCCTCCTCCTCTTTGAGGCTGAAGCTTACCTTGGAAGACCTTCAGGTCCTCATGGAGATGCTCCTCCTCCATCCTGGTAAGCTCTGGTGGGGAGGAGGGATGAAGCTTAGGATGGAGGGAGCAGAAGCCCCTCAATCGGGCTCTCTGCAATGGAGAACCTGAAGCAGGTCCTGGATGCTGAGCCCCAGGGTTATAATTTAACCAGGCTCTGCCCCATTCCTGTCCCAAGAGCACCTTGGATCGTGGCCACTTCCAATGGAAGCAATGGGGACATGGGGGCGGTTTGCTTGGAGCAGGGTCACTCTGCTCATGGATAACCCAGGTTTAAGGGCTCCCTAAGGTTTCTTTCCACGTTGGTGGCCCTGGTGGGATGCTGGGGGGGTTGGTTCATGGCCTGGATTCACTGGGGCTCTCTGCAGGCCTTCCCATAGACTCATAGGATGGGTGGGAAGAGGATACCAAAGCTCATCCAGCTCCCACCCCTGGTACCTTCCATTGGAGCAAGGGTGCTCCAAGCCCCGTCCCATCCAGCCTTGAGCACAATGGCTCATCCCAACCTTCTCCCTTCAACCCATCCCAGTGTCCCACCACTTCCCAAGATCCCATCTCCACCTCCCCTCTGGCAGCTTAAAGCCATTCCCCCTTATCCCATCCCTTCACCCTTTCTCCTTGATTCCCAATATTTGCTCCCAGTCACCCCAGATTCCCAGCTCCCCTCCCGCTTCCCAACCTGGAAAGGCCACTTTGTGCCTTGGGAACTGGGAATTGCTGGGCTGTGCCATTGTGTTCAGCGATGACGTGCTTGGAGATGATGGAAACTGGTGGGTTGGGATTGCTGGATATTAAATCCCATCACTGGGAGCATCCCATTGCAACCATTGAGGGAGCGCTTCAGCTCCAGCTGTGCCTTGGCTTGGCTTTATCCCGGGATCCAGTCTCCCTTTGCTGCTTTCCCTCCTTGCTCCCACTGTTAATAACAGGAATTACTCCAGTGGGAATCTCCAGGCCTGGGATAAACACGGAATGGGGGTTACTGAGCATGGGATAAACATGGAATGGGGGTTACTGAGCATGGGATAAACATGGAATGGGGGTTACTGAGCATGGGATAAACATGGAATGGGGGTTACTGAGCATGGGATAAACATGGAATGGGGGTTACTGAGCATGGGATAAACACGGAATGGGGGTTACTGAGCATGGGATAAACATGGAATGGGGGTTACTGAGCATGGGATAAACATGGAATGGGGGTTACTGAGCATGGGATAAACATGGAATGGGGGTTACTGAGCATGGGATAAACATGGAATGGGGGTTACTGAGCATGGGATAAACATGGAATGGGGGTTACTGAGCATGGGATAAACATGGAATGGGGGTTACTGAGCATGGGATAAACATGGAAGGGGGTTACTGAGCATGGGATAAACATGGAATGGGGGTTACTGAGCATGGGATAAACACGGAATGGGGGTTACTGAGCATGGGATAAACATGGAATGGGGGTTACTGAGCCTGGGTTTAAACACGGAATGGGTGTTGCTAAGCCAACAGCCTTGGGATGCTTTCCAAAGCAGAGCTGGGGCACGTTCCCGTTGTTTGCTTGCCCCACAGCTCCAGAGGTTGGGAATAGGAGCAGGAAAGAAGCCAGGGCACAAAGACCTGCAGTTGGCATGGGGCAGGGTGAGGGTTTCATCACTGGGGGGGTGTCACTGCCATCGGGGCTGTGTGGAACCCAATGGCTCATTGCTGAAGCTGAGTTGGGAAACGAGCCCAGGCAACATCAATGGGAAGCAGTTTGATTTAATAGACACAAGAAATCATCCAAACCCATCCTTGGTTGATGGGAAAAGCTCGGAATGGGAACGTCGCAGCGTTCCATGGCAGCTGATACCACAGGGAGGAGGATGTGGACAATAGAAGGCAATGGGGAAACGAGGCTGTTGGTGATGCCCAAGAGCACGTGGAGCCCCTGCACTGGGCAAACAGGACCTCAGGACCACGTATCCATGAAGCCCCCATGCATAAAAGCTTCCCAAGGAGTAACCTGAAGAGTGGAATTCCAAGGGAAGTGGATTGGGAAGCGCTCCTTGCCTGGGCTTCTCCAAGCAGAAACGTGTGGCTGGGGTATCCAGCTCCTCCCCAGCAGAGGCTGGAGCGTGCATGTGGGGTGCTGGAGCAATAGGAGCTGGATGCTGACTGGGAGTTTGGGATCCAGGCTGCTGGATCTCTTTTATTCCAGTGGCTCCTCCAGTTCTGCGCTCCTTAAGCTGCTGCCTGGTGCTTGGTGGGGAGGGAAGAGGAGCAGAGAGAACCTCAGCTCATCCCTGGTCACCTCCTCAGAGATGCCTGCTCCATAGGAAACAGAGTGTGTGGTGGGGGGGATCCCAGCAAACCCAACTTCTTCACAAGCCCCTTTAAGGGATGCACTCGCCATTGTGTGGCCACTCTGTCCCTGAAGCAGCCTTGGCCCATGGGGGAGTGCTTGAGGCTGCTTCAGGCTGGGGGTTGAGGCGAATGGGTGCAGCTGCAATGGGATAAATCCATCCGGATTTGATCCATGATTCCCAGTGCTAAGCAAGCCCCAACGACTCGGAGCTCCCTGAGCAGGGGCAGTGCTCGGCCCAAGGCAATCACAGCCCCAGCAGACACCTTCTCCCCCAGCTCAAGGCAAAGCACCTCCAGGTGCTGGAGGCCCTTTAAAGCCCCCAAACCTGCGCTGCTCACGGGGCAAGCAACGACCTCCAGCTCCCGCAGTCCCTTCATGTGGTACCCAATGGAGGCCATGGTGGCATCACCGGCACCGCAGCCCCGCAGCTCCAAGCGCCGCAGCCCCTGCAGGTAAGGAGCCGCCCGCTGCATCCCGGGCTCCGTCAGGCGATAGGAGCCCCGCAGGCTCAGTGTCTGCAGGCGGTGCTGGGAGCAGGCTGCCAGCAAGTGCTGGTCGGAGAAGGCCGGGACGTGGTGGATGTGGAGGTGGCGCAGAGGCCGTGGGGAGGAGCCGGGGTGGAACCAAGCAGCGGGGATCTCGCAGCGCCGCAGCTCCAGCGCCCTCAGGGATGCAGGGATGCTCTCGTAGGGGATGCGGCGCAGGTCGGTCTCGGTCAGGCTCAGGTGCTGGAGGCGGGGGCAGCGCTTGCCCAGGGCTAGCAACAGTGCTGGGGAGAGGAGGGGAGGCCGGGAGGAGGAGAGGAGGGAGCCCCGGGCCCGCAGCGTGCACAGCCCCGAGGGGAGGCGACGGCGCAGGAGCTGCCACAGGGCCCTGGAGCTGAGCTGCAGTGGGGGGGGGACAACAAGGGATAGGAGCTGAGGCCAGAGGGTGGGGAATGGGGACCCCTTGTTTGCAGTGGGGGATCCCCCCCCCTCAATCCCCTGCCTGCAATGGGGTGATCCCCCCCCATCTCAGCCCTTGCCCACAATGGGGTGATCCCCCCCTCAATCCCTTGCCCACAATGGGGTGATCCCCCCCTCAATCCCTTGCCCACAATGGGGTGATCCCCCCCTCAATCCCTTGCCCACAATGGGGTGATCCCCCCTAAATCCCTTGCCCACAATGGGATGATCCCCCCCTCAATCCCCTGCCTGCAATGGGGTGATCCCCCCTCAATCCCCTGCCTGCAATGGGGTGATCCCCCCTCAATCTCCTGTCTGCAATGGGGTGATTCCCCCCTCAATCCCCTGCCTGCAATGGGGTGATCCCCCCCATCTCAGCCCCTGCCCGCACTGGGATGCTCCCGTACCCGCCGCTGGCTCACATCCACGTGTCTCCACACCGTCGGGTCCAACGCGAGCCGCCGCCACCGCCGGCAGACCCTGCGGGGAAGCGATCAGCGCCGGAACCGGACAGCAGCCGGTACCGGTACAAGGGGGGGTCCTAACACGGCCGCTTTCAGCCGGTACCGGTACAACGGGGGGGTCCTAACACGGCCGCTCTCAGCCGGTACTGGTACCGGTCCAAGGGAGGGCCGTAACCGGTCCCACGGCGGCAGCAGGGCCAGGACCTGCAGCAACACCGAATCGGGCAGCACCGAGACCTCCGCTACGGCCGCCGCCATCTTGGCCGGTCCCCAACACTTCCTCTTCCGGTTTGCCCCCCGCTGACTTCCGCTTCCGGCGCTGTGGCGGAGCTCGGTGAGGTACCGGGAGAGGAGGGGGGGCTCCGGGGCCTCCCGTGTTTAACCCCTTTCCCCGTTACCCCTCCCGGTGTCCTCCCCGTTAATCCGGCCTCATCCTGCAGGCAACCATGATCGAAGTCGTCTGCAACGACCGCTTGGGCAAGAAAGTGCGGGTGAAATGCAAGTATCCGCCGAGAACGGGGAGCCGGGGGGGGGGGGTGCTCCCGTTTTCTTCCCCCCCTTTTCCCTGTGCCTCCCCCCCTTTTCCCGCTTCCTCCCCCCCCTTTTCCCATTTCCTCCCCCCCTTTTCCCGGTTCCTTCCCCCACTTTTCCTTAACGGCACCGTTAGCACCGAGGACTCCATCCGCGACCTGAAGAAGCTGATCGCGGCGCAGACCGGCACCCGCTGGGATAAGATCGTGCTCAAGAAGTGGTGAGTGGCACTGGGCTGGAAGCAGTCGAGACCCATGCCCCCCCCCGGGGGCTCTCCCCTTCCCCATGCTGGGGTGGCAGAGCCGGTACCGGTCCCCCCCCAACCCTGCTTTCTGTCCCCACAGGTACACCATCTTCAAGGATCACGTCACGCTGGGCGACTGTATCCTGCTGCAGGCGGGTGGTTTACCCTATTAATGGGTGTATGGGGCCGGGGGGGGGGTTCACTGCATCCTTCCCCATCTCCTTAACCCCATCCTCCAGATGAGATCCATGATGGCATGAACCTGGAGCTCTACTACCAGTAGCGGCTGCCGTTCCCTCCCCGTTCCCTGCTGATGCTCTCCTCTCTATGGGACCCGCCCCCCATCCCAAACCCCGTTCTCCCTCCCCAGGCTGTGTTGAGGCCCTGAAGCTGCCCTGGAGCGTTGAAGTCGTTTCTAATAAACGTGTTTCTCGGGTCTCTGGTTGTTGTGTGGCTCGGGGGGGAGCGGCACCGGGAGCTGCAGAACCGGGGGTGATGGGGACAGTGACGTTCTGCTGCTTCGCTTCGCTTTTTGACATCTTTTGCCCACCCACGGCCACCGTCCAGGCTCACCGCAGCCTCCCGCCCTGCAGCCAGATGGACAGGCTCTTCCACCAATGGCAGCGCGGGAAGCTTGGGCGTTGCCTTCCCTTTGGCCAATAGGAGCAGGGAACTCCACATTTGTCCCGCCTCTCCCCCTTTCTTGTCCCCGCACTACTGGCGCCGGTGCGGGAGGCGCAGGCGAGGGAAGATGGCGGAGGAGGAGAAGCTGCCCCCGGGTTGGGAGAAGCGCATGAGCCGCAGCTCCGGTACGGCCAACGGCGGGGGGCGGCAGCGGGGGGTAGCGGCGGCCGGGTCTGGGCCTCACCGGGAGGGGTTCGCGGTGCGGTGGGGCTCGGTGTGGGCCTCACTGTGGGCCTTATTGGGGGTCGCGGTGCGGTGAGGCCTGGTCTGGGCCTTGCCGTGGTGTGCGGGGCTCCGAGGCCTCGCTGCCGGGCGGAGGCTGCGTGGAGCCGGGGGCTGTGGTTGCTCCGCAGCCCGGTGGAGCCGGGAGCAGGCGCTTTCCGAAGGCCTCCGAGGAGGCTTTGCTCCCGGTGGGGCTGCGGAGGATGGGGCCGGCTTGGTTCCAAGCGGTGGGTTTGGGGTTCCTCGAGGAGGAGCTGATGGTTAAGGGGGACTGGGGTCCCCTTTGCGTTGTGGGGAGGGTGGTGGTTGGGGTTGCAAAGGGGAATTGGGGCCCTATGGGTCTGCCCCAATGCAGAGCTTTGGGGGTGAAGCAAGGGGTGGAGGGAGGCAAAGCCTTCCCCCAGGTCAGGAAGGAGGCACTGCGCATCCCAGCATGGGCACGGTGTTACCTGGGGGCTATTGTTGGCTCCTGCCCCTCTTAAGGGGGCTTTTATCGTTGGTTCTTGGGGCCAGAAGCTGCTTCTGGGGGTTAAAAGCTGATTCTTGGGGCAGAAAAAGCTGCTTTTTGGGGCCAGAAGCTGCTTCTTGGGGTTAAAATCTGGTGTTGAGGCTTGAGGAAGCCGAGTGTGGGGCCAGAAGCTGCTTCTAGGGGCGGAGGGGGTTGCTTGTAGGGGATAGAAGCTGGTTATGGAAGCCAAGAAAGCCGAGTGTGGGGCCAGAAGTTGGCTCTGGGGGCAGAGAAAGCTGCTTCTGGGGGTTATGAACTGGTTCTGGGGGCCAAGAGAGCTGATTTTGGGGGTTAGAAGATGGTTGTTGAGGGCCAGAAGCTGGTTCTGGGGGTTAAAAACTGCTTCTTGGGGGCAGAGAAAGCTGGTTCTGGGGGTTAGAAAATGCTTTTGGGGCTTAGAAACTGCTTCTTGGGGCAGAGAAAGCTGCTTTTGGGGGTTAGAAGCTGCTTTTGGGGGTTTGAAGCTGCTTCTGGGGGGCTAGAAGCTGCTTCTTGTGGGCATAGAAAGCTGTTTTGAGGGGTTTCAAGCTGTTTTGGGGGGTTTCAAGCTGCTTTTTGGGGGCCAGAAGCTGCTTCTTGGGGGCCAAGAAAGCTGATTCTGGGGGTTGGAAGCTGCTTTTGGGGGTTTCAAGCTGCTTCTGGGGGCCAGAAGCTGGTTCTGGGGCTTAGAAGCTGCTTTTGGGGGTTAGAAGCTGCTTTTGGGGGTTAGAAGCTGCTTTTGGGGGTTAGAAGCTGCTTTTGGGGGTTAGAAGCTGCTTTTGGCGTTAGAAGCTGGTTATTGGGGGCAGAGAAAGCTGCTTTTGGGGGTTTGAAGCTGCTTCTTGGGGGCCAAGAAAGCTGCCTGTTGGGGGCCAAGAAGGCTGCTTTTGGGGGTTTCAAGCTGCTTTTGGGGGTTGGAAGCTGCTTCTGGGGGCCAGAAGCTGGTTCTGGGGGTTAGAAGCTGATTCTTGGGGCAGAGAAAGCTGCTTTTGGGGGTTTCAAGCTGCTTCTTGGGGGTGGAGAAAGCTGCTTTTGGGGACCAGAAGCTGCTTTTGGGGCTGAGCATCCCTCTCCCTGTGTCCCCCCAGGCCGGGTCTATTACTTCAACCACATCACCAACGCCAGCCAGTGGGAGCGGCCCAGCGGTGGCAGCGGCAGCAGCGGTGGCAGGAACGGGCCCGGCGAGCCCAGCAAGGTGCGGTGCTCCCACCTCCTGGTGAAGCACAACCAGTCCCGGCGCCCCTCCTCCTGGAGGCAGGACAAGATCACGAGGACCAAAGACGAGGCCCTGGGGCTTATCAATGGCAAGTAAAAGGCAGGGGAGGGCAAGCAGGGGAGGGCAAGGGGGTTGCAGGCTTGAATCCCCCCCTTTAGGGTGCTGGGGGAGTGCTTTGAGCCACCTTTGCTGGGCGATGGGATGGCTTAAAGGCACATCCAGCCCTGTGTGCCTTCCCCTTTGTGGTGTGTGTTGTGTGTGTGTAGAGGGGGATGTTATGGCTGAGGTTGGGTTGTATTTTTTTTGTGTTGTAAATGTGTATTGTTCCATTTTTAAAAATAAACTGATTTCAAGCGAAACCCAGATGTTTTTTAAACATTTCTTCGTTTGGTTTCATGTCACTTGACTCCTCAGGAGCAAGTTGGAGTCATTTAAGTGCCATTGGGGCTCTGCTTGAAAGCAAGATGCTCCTAGGGAGCCTTAAGCTTTGCCCAAAGCAAGATGCTCCTAGGAAGCCTTAAGCTTTGCCCAAAGCAAGATGCTCCTAGGAAGCCTTAAGCTTTGCCCAAAGCAGGATGCTCCTAGGAAGCCTTAAGCTTTGCCCAAAGCAAGATGCTCCTAGGAAGCCTTAAGCTTTGCCCAAAGCAAGATGCTCCTAGGAAGCCTTAAGCTTTGCCCAAAGCAAGATGCTCCTAGGAAGCCATCAGCTTTGTCCAAAGCAAGATACTCCTAGGAGGCCATGAGCCTTGCCCAAACCTGTGTAAATGACCCAATTTGCCTGGGTTTCTCCCCAATATTCTGGCTTAGGAGCTGGTTTAAGGTGCCTTTTGCAGTAGGTGCTGTTCATGTTTGCAGGTGGATTGTGGCCTTGTGATTTGATGTTGTGTTTCGTCACCGAGGAGGTTTGGATCTTAAGGAAGTGAATTCCAAGCCCAGCTTTTCCCTTTTAGGATGAGGGATTTGGGACTGAATTAAACCTCACTTTAACCCCCCCTCCCCAAAGTGATGAATTGATGATGCTGTGACTGTGCTTGCTAATGGGTGGCTTTGTGTTTCCTGGCAGCAAGGTAGGGGCATGCAGATACATCCCACAGGCTGGGCCTGGCTTATCTCATAGCCCACAGGCTGGGCCTGGCTTATCTCTCATGGCTTCAGCAGCAAGGGGAGAAGATAAGGAGGGTGTTGTGGCTCTTGCCTCGGTCCTAAGCACCACCAACTGCAAGGGCTTGCTTCAGTGACAGCTTTGGGAGGGCAAGCTCTGTGCTGAATCACTCGAGGTGATGACCAGTAGGTGGTATCCACTCCCCACCTTTGGGAAGGGAAGGGAAGGGAAATTCCCTGCCATGGATGGGAGTTTGGTGCTTAGGGAATTGGTTTCCTTCAGGTGAGGGTGCCTGAGAAAGGGTGAGCAGAGGTGACAAAAGCTTCATAGGAACATCTGGGCCAAAGGAAAGAGAAAAGCTTGGAAATCTTGAAACAGAGCTGCTAATTCTGTCTTTTCTCTCATTTTTTCCTCTTTTTTTTTCCCTTGGAATGGGAATACCAGTGTCAAACCCCCCAGACCCACCCCCTAACCACCTGCCCCTTGTTTCTTGCCTCAGTGTTGTCAAAGCACTGAATTAAATGGCATTTCTTGCTGATGGAGTGGATTCCGAGCATCCTGCTCCTTCCCAACCTGCTTTGCCACGCCAGGCTTTTAGCTCCTGGTAATGTAGGTCAATGCTGCTTCTACTCTTAGCCCTCCTTTGCACTTCACTTTGAATTAATCTTCCCCAAGCACGGGTTCGTGGTGGGGTGCAAGGCTCCACATTAACTCTTGGCTCTGCCTTTGCTGTGGCATTTACTCCATGGAGGATGCTGCGACTCCAGTGCTGCTGTTAAAGCCATCCCGCTGCTTGTGGAGCTATCCATCCTCCATGGGTACGTGGTCCTGCTCCTGATGGAGCCTTCTTTTAGGGAAAAGAGGCCTTTTCTTTGAGGGAAAAGGCTCATTCCTCCCACTTCCCAGAGCCAGTTTGGGTTGGAGCAACTCCTTCAGCTTTACAGAAGCTTTTGGCTTTATCCATGGAGTTGCCAGGCAGCTTTTGCTCTCAGGCTGCTCCCTGGCATCACAAGGGAAGTAAATGAAGGAAGTAAATGCTATTTCAGTTAATGCTGAAACCCTCTTTACCCCTTGGATCCTGCTGCTGGGATAGGGGCAGGCAGGTTTGGATGCAAATGGGAGCCCTCTGCTCCTTCATTTGGATGCTTCCTTCCTTTTGCATAGGCATCACCTCTTAGAACTGCGATTCCTGACACTTCTGGGTGCAATGTGTGACAGGTACTTGCTGGGGACTGGCAGCTACAGGCAATTAAATACATATTTATGGGGGTACAAATGTGGTTTTAGGAGAAACTCTGTTTTGTCACCAACTGGTCGGCCTCAAGCCAACCATTCCTTCATAGGAGGAACCCAGGCTCCTTTCCTGCTGGGACCAGTAGGACAGCTCCTAAACCAAAGGATGACATGCCATTCCAGACCAAGCCCCAGGCAATCTGCTCTTCACATTGCTTTGTAGCCTCTCCAGCTGCAAAACCAACCCTTGCTGCCCTGGGCACCCTGTTGGATTCCAAAGGCTTGGAATGGATTGAAATTGAACTGCCTGAATGAGGGAGGAAAAGGGGAGCTGTAAAAGACTTAAGATGATGACTTAAAATCCCTTTGGTTTGGCTTTGCTGCCATAAAGGTCCCCACTCCTTGGGGATTCTTTGTGCTCAGTCTTCTATGGAGGTGAGCCCTGAAATCCAAAGCTCATCTCTTCCCCAGCCTCATCATGAATAGAATGGAATGGAATAGTTTGGGTTGGAAAGGGCCTTAACATCACCCAGTTCCAACCCCCTGCCATGGGCAGGGACACCTCACACTAAACCATGGTACCCAAGGCTTCATCCAACCTGGCCTTGAGCACAGCCAGGGATGGAGCATTCACAACCTCCCTGGGCACCCATTCCAGTGCCTCAGCACCCTCACAGGAAAGAATTCCCTCCTTAGATCCAATCTAAACCTCCCCTGTTTCAGTTTGAACCCATCACCCCTTGTCCTGTCACTACAGTCCCTAATGAAGAGTCCATCCCCAGCATCCCTATAGCCCCCTTTATCACTGGAAGCTGCTCTGAGGTCTCCACGCAGCTTCTCTTCTCCAGGCTGAACAAATCCCATGCTTTAGGCCAGCAGCAGGCAGGACCAACTGCTTGCTTTAATAGGATCTGGGAGAGATGCAAAAGAGGGGAACGTGCTTGGAAAGCCAAGGGGAGGCGAGTGCTTTTGGGGTGGTGGGATTGTTCCATTGTGGCTCTGCCTGCCTTTAGGAGGTTGGGAAGCTTTGCTCCGTGCCACGATGCTCTGGGCCCTCCTTGCAGTGGGATGGGGAGCCTTGGGGTGGTTTTTTCTCCCAAATCCCTGACTGATTCCCTCTCTTCCCAGGCTACATCCAGAAGATAAAATCGGGAGAAGAGGATTTCGAGTCTCTCGCGTCCCAGTTCAGCGACTGCAGCTCGGCCAAAGCAGGAGGAGACCTGGGGGTGTTTGGGAGAGGTAAGTGGAGCTGGGGCATGTCCCAATGGGAATGTCCCAGTGGGATTACAGGCTCCCTGCCGATCTGCTTGGCAGGGGGTGGGTTGCAGACAAGTGGGAAAGGGGATTTCTATGCTAAGGCGGCCTGCCAAGCAGGAAATGCAGTTGGATGCCTGGAAGTTAAACCTATTAGGAATGCAACCAGAGGATTATCCTCGGCAGGGAGGTGATGTTGTGCAAGTGCCTGTCACCAAATCAGCTTTTCCCTGCTGGAAAGGGATTCTCCAGCTGGAGAGCCAGAGCCTAATGAGCCATGAAGAAGGAAGCAGGGGCTAAGTCTTGCTGAGGGAAATGCTTTGGCATCCTATTCTTCAATGAGAGAGAACAACTCCCATGGACCAGTGCAGGGAGGGAGCAAGAAGCCAAACCTTGGGGCTGTTTGCCTGTTAATGGGATTTGCCAGGGTGGGAGGAATCAGCTTTGGGATGGGGAAGTGCACCAGGGCCTCTCGCTTGCTTCATCTTCCCACTGCTTTCTGCATTTGCACTAGGAGGAAAGTAAAGCCCTGCCAGCATGAGGACAGCTTCAGCACCCAAAGAACACCCCCAGATCTCTTTAGAGCCAGGGTGTCCATGCATGTTTCATGAGAAGAGGGCGAGGAAAGGCTCTTGCCAAAGGAGAGAAGGTGACAGAAGTCATAGGGACTTGCAGCAATCCCAGAGGAAGAGCCGCATCCCTGGATGTGTTCAAGGTTGGATGGGGCTTGGAGCAAGCTGGGCCAGTGGAAGGTGTCCCTGTCCATGGCAGGGGGTTGGAACTGGAGGAGCTTTAAGGTCCCTTCAACCCAAACCGTTTTAGGAGTCCGTAGAACTGGATTTTGAGTGGGTTCCCCCCCAAAACCACTCTTTTTCATCACTGTTCCCTTTAGGGTGCCATTCTGCAGCAGTTGCTTCCCCCACCAGATCCCTTCACACTGGAGTAACCAGTGCTGTGTTCTGGCTCTGTATGGAGCGAAGCACCAAGCCCAGGGTGCTGTCTGCAGGGTTGGGGTCAGTGGCACCTCAGCTCTTTGTGCTCTTTAGAGATGGAGCCAAAGAGGGTTTTAGTGGTGCTGCCTTAATGCCTGCACCAAAGCAGAACGTTCCAAGAGCCACGTTCCACTAGATGGCATTGGAACCACGAGTGGTGACCAAAGCCTGGCCCTGCCATTCCATCCCCTTCCCTGCATCCTGCTGCCTTCACTCCCCTGGGCTGCAGATGTGATGGGTTAGAAGGTGGAGCACTGGTTCCTGCAGAGGTGAGGTTATTAAACCATTTCCATTTGTCTTCTTGAAGCCCTTCCTTATAAGTCATGGTCCAGCTCGAGGAGGAGCGCTGCAGTGGAGCAGGGATGCTCCTGCCTCAGCTGAAGTCAAGATTACAGGTCCTAGTGGAAGAGAACCCCCAAAGGCAGGTGACAGTGAATGATGCTGGCGTTTGCTAGGCAAGCTGCCTGCCTCTCCTAAGCACTGGAATGGGGGAAGAGAAATGCTGCATTGAGTCAGTTTGGTGATAAACCACTATGGAAGGGGGAGAATAGGTGAAAGGGAGGACTAGAGCATCCTCTGCCTTGCTAGTGGAAGGGGATGTGGCTGGATGGAGGAAGTGAAACCTCCGTTCTGGAGGTGCTGCTGGGATAGATGTGGAGGGGTTGGGAAGCTTTAGTTCCTAAAGGGGCTACAAGGAACCTGGAGAGGGGCTTTGGACAAGGGCCTGTAGGGACAGGACAAGGGGGAATGGCTTTAAGCTGCCAGAGGGGAGATGGAGATGAGCTCTTAAGCAGAAGCTCTTCCCCATGAGGGTGCTGGGACACTGGGATGGGTTGAATGGAGATGGTTTGGATGCCCTATCCCTGTCAGTGTTCAAGGCCAGGGCTTGGAGCAAGCTGCTCTATGGAAGGTATCCCTGCCCATGGTACGGGGTTAGAACGGGATGAGCTTGAGGGTCCCTTCCAACCTCAAGCATCCTGGGATTCTCCCCACTGCTCCCCATGCAGGATCTGAGCATCTCTGGCTTTCCTGACCCTGCTGAAGCTCAGTGACCTGGGAGACGAGAGCCTTAAACCCAGTTCTTATCTAGGTCAGGCCGGTTGGTGTCTGTGTGTGCCTTGTGAAGTATTGAGTGCAGCCAGTAAAGCACACCAGAGCCTTTCCCCACTGCAACCAGTACCTGGAGGGCACAGGAGGCTGGAACCTCCTCTTGTTGCCAGTGAGGCAGCTTTGAGCATCCCCCTTTGCTGCAGCGATGCCTGTAGAGCCCGATGGGGACGATGCCTGTTTGAAGCCTCTTTGGGGAGCAGCCCGGAACGAACACCAGGTTATTAAGCGGTGCCTGGGTTCTTTGGGAGCTGGCTCTTGCTCCCCCCTTGTCTTGGCTGAGCTTTGTGGTGTCTGCCCCCCCCAGGTCAGATGCAGAAGCCTTTTGAGGACGCCTCCTTCGCGCTGCGGGCCGGCGAGATGAGCGGCCCCGTGTTCACAGAGTCAGGGATCCACATCATCCTGCGCACGGAGTGAAGTGCCTTGGGGGCCCGGAGGCAGGCCGAGGGCCACGGGGACACCAAAACCCCACCGAGGGCACCAGAGCCTCCAACCCTGCGCTCTCCCAAAGGAACTTCATCTCCACCTTAACCAAGAACAAAAGCTCATTTCATATCTGGGTAGCGTCTGTGGCACCGGACACGGTGGGTTTCCCCCTGCATGGTTTAGCCAAGGCTGAGAACACCAGCAGAATCAGACAGCAGCATCTTTCCGAAGCAGAACATCAGAGCCAGCCTTCCTGGTGTGCCACAGCTGCTTGAGTCACCCTTACCATGGCTCCTGAACCGAGGAGGTGTCCTCAGTGCATCCTGCATCCGCGCCGAGTGGTCCTCGCACTGATGCTGCAACAGAAGGAGCCCCCCAACCACATCCCCCTTGTGCACGTTTGGGCCAGCTCCTTTGAACCACGAGGATGGGGATTTGCTGGGCAGCCCCGCTCGCTTGGGTTTGTACAACTGGTTTCCTAAAGCCATCTGTAAATGGAGTGCAAGATCTCCCCTCTCTTAGCACGGGGACGGCCGTCCCTCGGTGCCGCAGCCACGGTGATGGTCCCTCTGTCCCATCACCCGCTGGCACCGCCTCTTCTCCCCTTCTGCCATTGCTTTGACTCTCAAAACTTGAAGCTGCCTTTTGGTTCTGAGTGACAAACGAGAGGCTCAATGGTTGCCACTGCAGGAGGCTCCGTAGCCAGCCCCAGCTGAGGAGTGGTCCATAAGGATGCTGTGCGCTTCCCCTTCCGGCCTCAAGTCACTCCAGTGCGGTGCCGTGGCGTGGGGTGGCTGTGGTGTGGATTTGCTGTTGTAGCTTGGAGCCTGTTCTCCTTCTCCCTCGAGCTCCTCTCCATCCACGTGTGGTTTGAACACTGTAAAGTCGTCCTTTATCCACTTCCCCATCGCATCGCTTCTGGTTTCGCGCCATCAACGTGGAGACATGGAATGAAATCAAATCCCAGCTTCGGTCCAGTGCAAACCAGCTGTATAGTCCCAGTTCCCTTCAGCAGCAAATAAAGCCCTCTCCAATTAACCATGTGAAGAGCTCTGGTATTGATTATTTCTCCCCCCCTTCGCCTGCAGAGGTCTTGTTGCTTCTATTAAAGCAAGCCAGAACCTCTGCAGTGTGATCTTGCTTTGCTCTCGCTGTCTGGGGTTGGAGGTTTAATCTTACAGCAGGGATGTAAGCTTTGATGTTCTCTGTTCCCTTCTGTTGTTGGGTTCTGTTTGCATCCAGCGCTGGGGGGAACAGCACCCACAGGGATGTGGAGCTGCTGGGGCGATGCCATGGGGATGCTGCAGAGGCTGGAGCATCCCTGCTCTGGAGCCAGGCTGAGAGAGCTGGGCTGGTCCAGCCTGGAGAGGAGAAGGCTCCTGAAGGGGAGACCTTAGAGCAGCTCCAGTGCCTAAAGGGGCTGCAGGAAACCTGGAGAGGGGCTTGGGATGAGGGATGCAGGGACAGGATAAGAGGTGGAGATGGGATCTTAGGCTCTTCCCTGCGAGGGTGGTGGGACACTGGGATGGGTTAAAGGGAGATGCAGTGGCTGCCCCTCTGTCACCTCTGATGCCAGAACCTGACTTGGGTGTTTCATCATGGCCTGGAGCCAGGCCCCTTCCCTGTGCTCTGAGGAATCCCGGAGCAGCACGGCTCCATCCCACCCCATTCCTGCAGGAAACCCTGGCTCCGGCCTCCCAGCACGTATCAAGCCTTGGACTCCATCACTGGGGCAGTGCCACTGATGCTGACTGTCTGACAGCATCCTCTTGGAAGCCTTCACTTCTCCAGAAGCATCACTGAAGGGATTGCTCCTGGTTCCTCTCCAGAGCCTGAGGAAGAGGCTGTTGCATCCCTGGGGATCGGGACCTGGTCCTGGACCAGATGGAGAAGCAGGAGTTGTGTGGTTGAAGGTACAGCCTCAGGGTCTCCATGGAGCAAAGCAGTGGGACCAGTTCAGGACCCCTGGGTCCCATCCGTGCCTCATGGGCATTGTGGGCTCTCTTTCCATTCACTCCCAATCCCTTCCCCATGGATGTGCTCTGGGGGTCTCCACTGGGAATGCCATTTTTAGGGGAGGGGGTCTCCATCTCATCCCCATTACTGCATCCCTTGCTCCTTCAGCTCCTTCTCCCCATCCACATCCCATTTGTACATCCCTGTCTCGGCCTCTGCCTCTCCTGATCTCACTTCAATTCCATGAGCATCCCTGCGAAGTTTCCCAGCTAATCCCTCTTTTTCCACTGCCTGCTCCCTTTTGGCATCAAACCTTGCATCACCCTGAGAGCAGACGGGATTTGGATGGGGGGGGGGGCAGCTCGGAGCGTGGATTTCCTGCTTGGACCCAGGCTGAGGCACTTCCAATGGGATCGATCCCCCCCTCATCCATGCTTTGCGATGAGCTGGGGCCGTCCCCGCTGCAGGAACACGCTGCCTGTTGTGAACACCCCACGGAGGAGCGATGTCCCCATCAGGATGCTCCGAGGATGCTCTTTGCGCCTCTAGATGTAGCTCTTGAGCTGTGGTACCCAGCGGAGCCTCCGCATCTCCAAGCACGGGGTGTGCTCCCCGCAGGGCCATTTTATGCCTCTGCCTCTCTCGCAGCGCGGCATCTGCCCAGGGCCCGGCCTTGGCCTCGGATCCTTGTGCAAACGCATCCTTGATCTGATCATCAACCGCACCCCGTTTGATGCGGATCCCCCCCCATCCTTCTCCCTGTGTTTCCACCCCGCTCTGGCCAAGCGAGCTGCTGGTGCCTCCCAAGGCCGAGGCTGGAGCATTTCGCTCGGCTCTAATGAGCTTTGCTGCTGATGGCATCGAGGCATTCCCGGCTGGAAGCGGCGGCACCGCCTGGGAAGGGGCTGGGCTGCTGCAGCCGTGCAGTGCGGGGCTCAGGTTGCCCGGAGGCTTTAGGGATGCTCTGGGAGAGCTCCTTCCTGATGGTTCCCACTGCCCCCAGGTTCCCCATTCCCCCCCCCACCAATTTCCCTCTTTTCTCACTGATTTTTCCTCCCCCCCATTCCCCACTTCCCCCCCCATTTTCACTTTTCTCCCTAATTTTTTCCTTTCCCCCCCAAATTTCCCACTTTTCTCCCCAAATTTCTCACTTTTCTCCCTAATTTTACCTTCCCCCCAAAATTTCCCACTTTTCTCTCTTAATTTTTCCTCCCCCCAAATTCCCCACTTTCTCCCCCAATTTCCATCTTTTCTCCCAAATTTCCCACTTTTCCCCCCAAATTTCCCACTTTTCCCCCCAAATTTCCCACTTTTCTCCCCAAATTTCTCACTTTTCTCCCTAATTTTTTCCTCCCCCCCAAATTTCCCACTTTCTCCGCCAATTTCTCACTTTTCTCCCTAATTTTTTCCTTTCTCCCCCATTTCCCATTTTTCTCCCTAAGTTTTCCTTTCCCCCCAAATTTCCTACTTTTCCCCCCAAATTTCCTACTTTTCCCCCCAAATTTCCCACTTTTCTCCCCCAATTTCCCACTTTTCTCCCTAATTTTACCTTTTCCCCCAAAATTTCCCACTTCTCTCTCTAATTTTTCCTTCCCCCCCCAATTTCCCACTTTTCTCCCTAATTTTTCCTTCCCCCCCCCAAATTTCCCACTCTTCTCCCCAATTTCCCCCCCCTCGTTTCCCATCTCCCTGGGCTGCTGCCTGCCTCCTGCTGTCTGTAATGGACCGAGGAGCATCATTTATTCACGTTCACCAGCACCAGCTCCCATTTATTGCCATGAAAGGGCTCAAGGAGCACTGAAAGGGGACAAAGGCTCCGTCCCCTCCATCCCTGCTCCTGCCTTTCCCTCTTATCCCGAAGATCAGGCAGGCCTGGCTCAGGGCTTAGCACGGGGTCATGGAATGGGATGGAAAGGACCTTAAAGCTCATCCAGTTCCAATCCATCCCATGGGCAGGGATCCCTTCCACTGGAACACTGCTAGGGATGGAGCATCCGAACCACCTCCATTCATCCCAGTGTCCCACCACCCTCATAGGGAAGAACTTCCCTATCTCCAACCTAAACCTCCCCTGTTCCAGTTTAAACCCATCACCCCTTGTCCTATTGCTCCTCACGAGCCCACACGGTCCCTATGGAGCAGGTCCAGGCTCATGGTGCCAGAGGGAAGGAATCAGATCCCGGAGTTAAATCCTCTGATGGGACCTGCTCCAAATTCCCGGTTGGAAAAGAGTCATCCCATGGCAGGGACCAGCCTCTGACTGTTTCCAGCTCCCAACCCTATTTTTCCACATGGGATGCTGGCTTCTTTTCCCCTTTGTAATGGGTCCCCCCCATTTGCTCTGCACATTCCAGATGATGGGAGCTGCAGGGAGCCGCAGCCTCATCACTGTGCTGAGGGTTTCATTGGCCCATTCAAGCATCAGCTCCAAATCCAGTGGGAAAACACATTGGGAAGGATCTTTATGGGGTTTTTAGTGGGAGGGAGGTTGGAGATGGCTCCATGGAATCATGTCATAGGGTTGGGTTGGAAGGGACCCTCACCCCCACCCCTTAACAAGCAGGGCTTGGATAAAGGGATGGATGAGGAGCGGCTTCCCCAAGGCTGGAAAAGGGACCAGAAGGACAGGGCGCTGCCTTCACCTGCAGCATCGTAGCCATCCCTGATGCTCAGCTGCATCCCAGGGCTCCAGGGTTTCCATGACAACTCCCCGAGCATCCCTGCGGCTGCTGCTGCTGTGGAGAGCTGAGGGGACCTGCAGGGACCTGTGTGCGCTTGGGGGGGGTCATCAGCTTTGGGGGTGTCTATATATATGTACATACACATATATAACACATAGATGTGTATGTATATAATAGATGTGTGTATATATACACACATATACACATTATTTATTACACAGGATCCTAGAATGGTTTGGGTTGGAAGGGACCTTCAACCCCATCCAGTTCCAATCCCATTCCACACCTTTCCCTAGCCCAGGTTGCCCCAAGCTGGCCTTGAACACTGCCAGGGATGAATGTAATTCCTGTCCATAGGAATGTGTGCAGCTCCAGGAAGGGGAAGAGGGGGGTTTGCTTGCAGCACTTGGGCATCAGGAGGATGGGATGCTCAAGGGGATCTGTGCCTTAGAGCAGCTCCAGTGCCTAAAGGGGCTACAAGAGACTTGGAGAGAGGGGCTTTGGGTGAGGGATGCAGGGACAGGACAATGGGAATGGCTTGAACCTGCCAGAGGGGAGATGGAGATGGGATCTGAGGCTGAAGCTATTCCCTGTGAGGGTGCTGGGACATTGGGATGGGGTGAATGGAAAAGCTTTGGATGCCCCATCCCTGGCAGTGTCCAAGGCCAGGTTGGAGCAAGCTCCTCCAATGGAAGGTGCTGGGGTTGGAGCTGGATGAGCTTTGGGATCCCTTCATCCCAACCCATCCCATGCCCATGGGTGATTCCCAGTGGGATGCTCGATCCATCCGGCTGGAGGGGCCAGGCAGGAAGGAGCTGAGGCATCTCCTGCTCCCAAAGGCAGCTGATGACCATTATCCCAATCCATAGCAGCCATTGCTGCATGACCATTATCCCGATCCATAGCAGCCAGTGCTGCATGACCATTATCCCAATCCATAGCAGCCAGTGCCGCATGACCATTATCCCAATCCATAGCAGCCAGTACTGCATGACCATTATCCCGATCCATAGCAGCCAGTGCTGCATGACCATTATCCCAATCCATAGCAGCCAGTGCTGCATGACCATTATCCCAATCCATAGCAGCCAGTGCTGCATGACCATTATCCCAATCCATAGCAGCCGGTGCTGCATGACCATTATCCCAATCCATAGCAGCCGTGCTGCATGACCATTATCCCAATCCATAGCAGCCGTGCTGCATGACCATTATCCCAATCCATAGCAGCCGTGCTGCATGAGCCATTATCCCATCCATAGCAGCCGGTGCTGCATGACCATTATCCCAATCCATAGCAGCCAGTGCTGCATGACCATTATCCCAATCCATAGCAGCCGGTGCTGCATGACCATTATCCCGATCCATAGCAGCCAGTGCTGCATGACCATTATCCCGATCCATAGCAGCCGGTGCTGCATGACCATTATCCCAATCCATAGCAGCCAGTGCTGCATGACCATTATCCCGATCCATAGCAGCCAGTGCTGCATGACCATTATCCCGATCCATAGCAGCCGCCAACCAACCCACCAACACCCCAACCAACCCACCAACACCACCAACCAACCGATCCATAGCAGCCAGTGCTGCATGACCATTATCCCGATCCATAGCAGCCAGTGCTGCATGACCATTATCCCGATCCATAGCAGCCAGTGCTGCATGACCATTATCCCGATCCATAGCAGCCAGTGCTGCATGACCATTATCCCAATCCATAGCAGCCAGTGCTGCATGACCATTATCCCAATCCATAGCAGCCATTGCTGCATGACCATTATCCCGATCCATAGCAGCCGGTGCTGCATTCCCCAGTGCAGCCGCAATTAATCAGAGCCTATTTATGGCATCCTATTCATCAGGAGGGAAGAAATCATCCCCATTGTAATGGGAGGCTTCAATGTCCACGCATCCCGGAGCGAACCCAAGCTGCACCAGGAGCTGGGAATACATTTCCATCCTAATGACCTGAGGGGCTTGCATTGCTTCCAGGGAATGCGGGGCTCATGGGGAATGAGCCATCAGGAGGGGTGAAGCAGGAGGGGATGGGGGGGCTTTGCCTGCATTGGGATTGAATGGTGCCCAAAGGGCTGGTTTCAACCCATGTCCTTGGTCTGGTCCATGATGGGCTTCGTCTTGAGCATCCTCAATGTGTGGATGGGATGGAAACATCCCAAGCTTCCATCCCTATGAGTGCAGCAGCTCCCATAGAGTGGGATTTGGAGCCCCAGAATGAGGGTGTTGGGACTGGATGATCCTCAGGGTCTCTTCCAACCCATTCCATCACCCTATGGGAGGCTTCTGCTTCCTTGGCCCTCTTTTACCTTAGACTCATCCAATGGCTTGGGTCGGAAGGGGCCTTTAGGGATGCCCTGGTCCAAGCCCCAGTGCAATGAGCATCACCCAGACCACACTGATCCTGGAGATACCCAGGTTCAAGAGGCAGGGGTGGAGGAAAGAGGGGCCTTGGGAGGAGAAGGCACCAGGTTTGTGATCCCAAGTTTGGGAATCGTGGCCCATTCCTCCTTACCCAGCACCTCCCCATGGCTTTGCCTGCATGAAGGGCGCCGGAATCCTTTGTGCTCATTCCTTAACCCAAGCTACTTGGAATTCCCAAGGCATTCCCAAAGGTCCCATCCCAATCCCTCCCCTCCCAGCTGCCTGATGCTCCTTGTTCCCAACCCACTTCCAGCTGCTCAGTGTCCCCATCCCCATGGCTCCGCCTTTGGTACCCTCTGAATCCCCCTTCATTGCCCCATTCCATTGCCTGGGATCCCAGATGGGAAGAGCAAGCTTTTAGCTGCTTTTCCTGGCTTTCCTTGGCTCCCAACAGCAGGAATGGGATCAGCAGCAGCGTTAACGGAGCCATTTGGAACCTTCCTATGCCAGGGCTTTGTTCCTCACCTCCCAGCAGTGAAATAACCCCAAAAGATGCCCCCCACCCCACCCCAAATCCCACCTTAACCCATTAATCCATTGAAATAACAACCCTGGATTCCTGGAAAGCCTCAATCCATAGCTCCATGGACGGATGCTCTTGGCCACCGCCAATGGAGCTTGGCTGGGGCTTGGCCACCTTTATCCTCCCTGGATGATGCTGGGAGCGATGCAGGCTCCAGGCTTGGCTCATCCCATCCCATCCCATCCCATCCCATTGGGATCCCGGAGCTGGGGTTTGAATCCATCCCTTTGCTGGTGGTTTATTTCCATCATCCCTTTGGATCTGGCTCTCACCTCCTCCTGCTGCGAGGCAGGCCCGGCTCGGGAGCTGCAAAGCTGGTGCTAATTGCCTGCTAGGGAAGGTGAGTCATTCCCAAGCTGTTCCCTCCCGGCTGCCCCAGCAACCAGCCTGCTTGCCCAGTGCATTCCCAGTTTGGAGCGCTGGGATTGGCTCCAGGACCCTCACGGTGCTTGATGGGTGATGCTCACTTAGGGGGACGCGGAGATGCCCTTACCCCCAACCCCAGCGCTTTGGTACCCAACCTGCTGCAGTCTGGGGCGTGCAGCAATGCAAGGGATGAGGATGCAGCATCCTTGTGCATGGAACGGGGGGGGACAGACACTCATCGCATCCAAGCCCATCAAAGCCCCAATTCCAGCTCATTTTAGGGCTTATTTATGGGCAATTGGAAGGGGAAACGTGCCTGAAATCCCTGCCCATGGTGACGCTGCACTTCACAGGGAAGCCTTCGGTGCCGAGGAGGCGTTTCTGCAGCATCAGAGGCAGGAAGCGCCTGGGTCTGACTCAGCCTGAGCTCAGCGCCGCATCCATGGGGTGATGGATGGGGGGAAACAGGGATCAACCCCCCCCTATTCTGTACACAGGGGGGGAGATGGGGACCTGCTCTTCCCATAGGGGGAACAAAGCCCTTTCCCTGCTTTGCTCTCACATCCCAATCCCCCCACATTTAATGCTGGTTTCAACCCATGGCACCAGCTGAGGTCTCTTTATTCCCCATCTCAGACCACACACAGCTTAAACCCAACCCCACGGTGCTCCCCATCCCCATCCCCATCCCCATCAAGGGATGTGCTTAGGTCCCAAAGCCCTGTTTGAGGAATCACCTCCCTGTGGATCCAAGGAAACCGACCCCATCCTCTGCCACGCTGGGAGCTAAAGGGAGAAGATGAAGGAGGGATCAAGCGGGGTTTAAGACCATCATAAAGGTGGGCTTGGTCCAGCCACAACCCAGGGCTCCCCATTGGGTTTAAGCTGAGTTTAAGGGGATACACCCCCAACCTCACCAGCATCAGGGGCCCGAGAGGAGCATCCCCAAGAACAGGCTTGGCTGATGGATGGATGGAGGAAGAGCACCCAAACATCTCCTGGGAGGCATAGGTCAGGTAGAGGAAGCCGTCCTCATCCCGGTTGTCCTGGTAGAGCTCCTGCATGGTGATGGACAGGTTGGGCAGCCCCTTGTTGTTCACCAGCAGGTAGAAGGTCTGGGATGAGGCCAGGGAGAGCCGCGTCCTGCAGGGATGAAGGGGAAGGCAAAGTGTGGGTGAGCATTGCCCAGCACCAGGCATTGTCCATGGGGAGGCAGCTCCAGCACTGGTGTTTAATGGGTTCTGGTCCCATTGGCTTCAGGAGAGGCTCCATCCATGGGGATGCAGCTCCAGCACTGGTGTTTAATGGCTTCTGGTCCCACTGGCTTCAGGAGAGGCTCCATCCATGGGGATGCAGCTCCAGTGTTTAATGGGTTCTGGTCCCATTGGCTTCTCCCAGTGGGATCTGGTTTCAGGAGAGGCTCCATCCATGGGGATGCAGCTCCAGCTCTGGTGTTTAATGGGTTCTGGTCCCATTGGCTTCTCCCAGTGGGATCTGGCTTCAGGACAGGCTCCATCCATGGGGATGCAGCTCCAGCACTGGTGTTTAATGGGTTCTGGTCCCATTGGCTTCTCCCAATGGGATCTGGCTTCAGGACAGGCTCCATCCATGGGGATGCAGCTCCAGCACTGGTGTTTAATGGCTTCTGGTCCCAGTGGCTTCAGGAGAGGCTCCATCCATGGGGATGCAGCTCCAGCTCTGGTGTTTAATGGGTTCTGGTCCCATTGGCTTCTCCCAGTGGGATCTGGCTTCAGGACAGGCTCCATCCATGGGGATGCAGCTCCAGCTCTGGTGTTTAATGGCTTCTGGTCCCAATGGAACCTGGCTCCAGCATCGTGCCCCTCTGCTCCCACCCATCAATAGGCATGGAGACCCAATTGCCACCCCTCACCCCAGCAAGGGTAGGGAACGCTGCTGTAGATGCCCATTGCAAAGGCTTCATTGCATTAGGCTAAGCTTAAACACCCACTAAACCCTTGCCCAGTGGAGCACCCAAAGGCGCTTCCATTCCAAACTGGTTCCTAGCACCTACACTGGGCTTTGCACTGACCCAAGGCTATGGACCCCCCTTTGCTTGTACTGGGAGCCCCACTCACCGCAGGGTGACCACGAGCTGGGACAGGGGCAGGTCCTGGGCCACCAAATACTTGGTCCTGGTCAAGGGGGGCAAAGTCTTCTCCTTCTGGTAGCGCTCCACAACCACCTGCAGCAGGGGGGAGATGCTGGGGTCAATGGGGGGGTGCAGGATGGAGCCCCCAAAGCCTTGAGCAGGGGCTCCCCTTGTTTGGAGGGCACAGAGGGAGGGGGTTGAGGCCTCACCGGGATCTTGTTGGGATATTTCAGGCGGATCTCGGCCACTTCCTGCATCCTGGAGGCTGGGGAAGGGAAAGGGGGAAGTGAGCAGGGCCCATCCCGGTGTCCATGGGGGTGTCCATGGGGGTGTCCATGGGGGTGTCCATGGGGGTGTCCATGGGGGTGTCCATGGGGTCCCCCTCCCCAGGGCCGCACCAAGGCTCCGCCTCTGCTTGAAGGGGTGAGAGCTGCTGCTGCTGTCGGGCTGCATCCTCAGGCATGGAGCACCCCCGGGCAGGTGATGCTGGGAGAGCCCCTGATATAGGCAGGCTCGTCCTGCTCCAGCTGGGGTGGGATGGGAGGAGCTGGGGTGATTGGGAGGAGCTGGGGTCTGATGAGGGAAGGGGAGGGGAAAGGGGAAAGGGAGAAAGGGAAAAGGGAAGGGAAAAGAAAGAAAGCAAAAGGGAAGCGAAAAAGAGAGAGAAGGGAAAAGGGAAGGGAAAGGAGAAAAAGAGAGAAGGGAAAAGGGGGAAGAGAGAAGGGAAAAGGGAGGGGAAAAGGGGAAGAGGGAAGGGAAAAGGAGAAAGAGAGGAAATGGAAGGGAAAGGGGAAAAAAGAAAAGGGGAAAGAGTGAAGGGAAAAGGAGAAAGAGGGGAAATGGGGGGAAAGAGAAGGGAAAAGAGAGAAGGGAAAAGGGGAAAGAGAAAAGGGAAAAGGGGAAAGAGAGATGGGAAAAGAGAAAAGGGAAAAGGGGAAAGAGAAAAGGGGAAAGAGAGAAGGGAAAAGAAAGAAGGGAAAAGGGGAAAGAGAGATGGGAAAAGGGAAAAGAGAGAAGGGAAAAGGGAAAAGAGGGAAGGGAAAAGGGGGAAGAGAAAAGGGAAAAGAGAGATGGGAAAAGGGAGAACAGAGAAAGGAAAAGGGGAAAGAGAGAAGGGAAAAGGGGGAAGAGAATAGAGAGGGAAAAGAAAGGAAGGGAAGAGAGTTGGGGTTTGCTCCTTTGCCAGCCCCATGCAGGAGCAGGATGAATGACTCCACCACGGATTACCCCATAACCGATGGCTGAGGCTGCTCTGCACTGATGGAGATGGGAGCTGGGGTGTGTGTGTGGGGGGGGGTCCTTCTCTTCCCTCCGCGATGGGATGAGGAGGGATAAGGCCCTGCCCCAGCACATCAATCCCACCCGGAGCCGGCCCCGCATCCTTCATCCTGACACCTTCATTCCGGTCCTATCTCCGCCTGGATTTAATGAGGGCCTGGTGTCAGGGGGGAGCCATAAAGCTGCCGAGACATCGGCTCATCCGCACGCCGCCGGTTCCCTGGCTCAGGAGCGAGGCGGCTCCTGCAAACAAATTAGATCCCATTATGCCCATTAAATCCCATTGGTCTCCTTATTCCCCGGTTTTAAACCCCCTTTGGCTCCTTATTCCCTTTTTTTCAAGCCCATTTGTCTCATTATTCCCTTTTTTCCCCCATTTTCATTTCACTTCCCAAGCTCCTGCATCCCCCATGGGCTCCCCCCTCCTCTGCCACCCCCCAAAAGGGAGGAGGCAAAAGCATTCCAGCTCATTCAGACTTAAATCAGCCTCATTTCAATTGGAATAACAGGAATAACGGGTCCTGGAGCTGCTGGGGGAATGGGGTGGTTTAGGAGGGATACTCCGCAGTGAGCACCCTACCTGCATCCGCCGGCGTTATCCTTGAGCATCCCGGTTGGCTTCATCCCTATGGTGCTTTGAGCATCCCAATCCCATCACCCTGGGCTTTTCCCCCCTCCTGTTTCACATCCATCTTCCATCTCCTTTACCCCTGTGGGATGGATGAGCCTCTGTTACTGCGCCATAAAAGAGAATCAATCTCCCCTCCGTGCTCATTGCTGGGCTGGAAAATGAGTTCAGAGCAGAGATTCCATCTGCGGAGCACGTGAAGCCGTTGCAAATGCATCCCTCTTAATAAACTTAATCCTGGGAAGTTCGCATGGGATTCACAATGGGGTTCATGGGGGGGGGGGGGTGCATTTTCCTCTTATCAATAAGCGGATAAGTAATAAAGCACCTCCTTTTGCTAAGGAAAAGGATGGGTTCCGATGCTCTGAGTTCCGTTCTGCCCCCAGGATGCGCTAATGGCAGAAAAAGGAGCTGGGAATGGAAAACTAACCCGTTTTCAATGGGGTCGTTAACGGTGAGCATCCATTATTCACCCGTTTAACACCCGACCAAGTGCGGCGGGGCTGGAATGTCACAGAGATGCGATGCTCTTCATTAGCAGGAGCCAATTCATTAAGGATGAAGGGAAATGGGTTTTCCATAGGTTGGGGGGGGGGGTGGCCCCATCCTGCTGCTGGCCCCTGTGTTAAAGCCTCCTCCGGGCATCCTCAAGCATTCCCAAAGGGAGGAGGGAAAAGCATCCCAGTTCAGCCCCATCCCTTCTGCTGCATGGGTTTGCATTGGCCGGGAGCTTCCTATGGGAGATGGGTTTCCCTAGGGAATCACCATGGCTGGAATGATCCCAATGGGGCCACCAATACAGAGCTGGGGGAGGCACGATCCATCCGGGATCGCCTCTGGATCCCTGCGGGATCTCATGGGTAACCCCTCTCCTGCACAAGTTCCCTTTTATCCTGGGGTGAGACACTGGGATAAAGGCAGGTCTTAACCCCCCCAAACCATCCCCCTTTATGGGGTTTTAGTCCCAAGGAGGTGATGAAGTGGGAATCTCAGCCCTGGTCCCAAGGGTTGGGAAAGGAGGGTTTGGGGATGCCCATTATTTGGTGCAGCAATTCACTGGGTATGTATAGCTGTAGGATATAGGGCACGCATCCATATGACCCACGCATGTATTTTATACCTGTTCTATTAATTATATTGCATTATAACATATTCTAGATAATGAGTATATATTATAGTCAAGATTTCTCCCTGTTCCAGCTAATATGTGTCTATTTTAGACAAGATTTCCATCTATTCTACTTCATATGCATATAATATGCATTAAAGTCCTTTGTCATCTAGCTAATACATCTGTATTCTAGGTGAGGTTTACTATATATGTATATGTATTGTATGTCTATATATATTATAGGCAAGATTTCTATATGTTCTGGCTAATACATGTTATAGATGAATTTAGGTAAGATTTCTCCATATTCTAGCTAATGTTTCTATATTCTAGATGAGATTTCTCTCTATATGTCTATTATAGATAAGACTACTATAGGTCCTCACTAATATGTACATATTATGGGTAATATTTCTCTATATTGGCTATATTCTAGGTTAGGTTTTGAGCCATTTGACTGAATGGGCCAGAGCCCATGTGCCCGCTTCCTGCCCTGAGGAGGAGCCAGGGATGCTAAAAGCTGCATTCCTCCATCATCATCATCATTCCCAATGGAGGGGCAAGGGGATGAGGGCTGGAATTCCAGCTTTTCCCCCTTCCACAGCTTGTTTTAGCACCGCCAACCACGCACTCCCATGGGGATGGAGCTGGGAATGGGAGCGGATAGGATGCGATGGGGATGAGATTGCGTGGATGCGATGGGGATGAGGATGGAGATGGGGATGGAGCTCCCACTGCTCGCTGCTTCCCGGCCATAACCAAGCCTCAATTATGGGGCTCCCACTGGTTTTCCCTTGGGAGGGACACAGCCCCAGGGCTCTGCAATGAGCAGGATCCACACCGGAGCCCTGGAAAGGGGATGGATTTCCTGATGCTTCCCTAAGGAAGCGAGTTCCTAACGGCGAGCCATAGACGATCCCACCCGGAGCATCGGGAGCAAGGGAACAGTTGGGGATCCCCCTTTGAGCGCTATCCAAAGGCACTGCAGGGTGCTCCCCCCTTCCCAGCCCCTCCAGCTCCATCGCCAGCCGGGCTCAGGGCTGAATAACCAATTCTAGTCCCGTTAAGGCTGAGCCTGCAGGAGAATTCCAATGAGCTGGAAAACCGCAGCCTGCAGGATGAGTGATCCCAGGCTGGTTTCCAGAAGAGTTTCTCCATGTGGGAGGTTATTAAAGCCCTGGGTTATGGGGGATTTTATCACTCCCCCCCCCTTTCTGTAGCTCAAATAGGGGCACCAAGGGAAAGCACATTGGGTTGGGGGCTTATTCCTACCTCAGCTCTAGCCACCGACTGAAGGTGCCTCCACTGCAGCACTGGCTGCATCCCTGCATCCCTGGGTTCCCCCTCTAAGGATACCCAAGCTTGAAGGATGCAGGGAAAGGTGACCGAGGGCTGTCGGTGGCATCATCCGTGGGGAGGAGGTGGGATGGGGATGGGGATAAGGATGGGTATTGGGATGGGGTGGACAGGATGGGACAGGGATGAAAATGGAAATGGAGATGGGATTAGATAGGTTGGGGATGGGATGGGGACGGGGATGGGGTGGAATGTGATGGAATATAATGGGGATGGAATTGGTTAGAATGGGATGGGAATGGGATGAGGATGGGGATGGGGATTGATGGGGATGGGATGGGGATGGGAGGGGATGGGGACGGGGATTGATGGGGATGGGATTGGTTAGAATGGGATGGGGATGGGATGAGGATGGGGATGGGGATTGATGGGGATGGGATGGGGAAGGGGATGGGATGGGGATGGGATGGGGATGATGGGAATGGGTTGGGAATGGGATGGGGATGGGATGGGGGTGAGAGTAAGGCCCACGCCTGTTCCCTGCTCCCTTTGCACTGCAGCCCCAGTATCCACCCCATGCCTCCTGCAGAAGGGTCACCATGGCCTTTTCTCCCCCCAGACCTATTGGTGTCCCCCCACCATGAGCTCTCTGGGGCCATTGGAAGCTTTATTACGCCCATGGTGATGTTGCCTGCAGAGCCCCTCTGACAACTCCATCCCCATTGCCCTCCATCCCTTTATCCCCTCCTAAGCCATCTCTTCCACGTCTCCTCCATCCCCTCACACTGGCAATTGATGAGGGGGGGGGGAGAAACCATCATCAGGAGCCCCATCAAACATCAGAGACCGCTTTTATTTGCCACCAAAACCGAGATGTAAATCAAAAGTAAGTAAATGAAGAGAACCAAAAACCCAACCGAGGTCAGCTCCGACGGAGGCCAACGCGATCCCACGCGCCACGAAGGAGCCAAAGGAATAGTCCCAACCATGAGAACCAAGGAGGAAAAGGAGGAGGAAAGAGGCTGGAATGGCTCAAACCAAAGAGATGGGGATGGAGAACGGAGGCACCGGGTCACAGCTCCCCCGAGGTCTTTATGACGTGGAAGAGCGTGACGTTGTAGATGACCTGGTGGCCGTTGT